TTAATCAGGTTCACTAGAAAACTCTTTTCTTTGTCTTGTTACATAAGTGTCTTCAGAACTTGTTCGTGATTTATGATAATTGCGAATATGTTTAACAATATCAGCCCTCCAAACAGAAACAAAAGGACATCTTTTACACCGGAATTCAAGGTGGTAATGTTGAGTCTCAATATGAGCTTTGATTGAGGTCCAACAATGTACAACATAGTTGCAGAGATTGCAAGTGTATTCATCTTTGTTTGCTGTTTTAGTGTAATATTTTTTGGTACTGTAAAGCCCGGCCCCAGGTCCGTTTTTTCGTAATTTAACTGGACTCCCATTTGAATCATAAGAAACATCGTTATAATTAATATCATATGAAATTCTGTTATGGTTCCCGTCTTGATTATCGTCGATGAAAGAAGTATAACCCCTCAATTCCAATTCATTTTCATTCATGTCAACACTATAACTCCTTTCTTCAAGCATATTGGGTTTTTCATCGTAAGGATAGTCCAATTCAAGCTCAGGGTCAGTTTGAGTGCCATCATTTGCTATGGACGAATTTTTCTGCGATGCTTGATCCACACGTCGTTTTCTATTTTTTTCAAGTCTAGGATCTCTTGAAGATGCGTCTTTGACTCCTGGTCTCACAATAACTGAACTTGATTTGGTATGAACGTCATTTGATGGATTGTTTACATTTCCTGAGTTTCTATTATTGACTGGTGAAGGTGGAGTTTCGGGAGTTGGAGGTCTAGAGACTGCAGAGGTAGCAGCGATAGCAGCTGCAGATGTGATTACACCAATGGAGCCGGCACCGCCATTAATAGGATCACGATAAGGCACAGGCGATGCCATAACTCTGATGAAACCATTGCGTCCATTTCTTAATGTCAATTCTATATCCAACAAACGAGCAACATTTTGCAGCCCAGTCAATCTAGGATTACTGACTTCAGCATAAGTCAATGAATAAAGCACATGAAAAAGGCACTTTAGATCTCGTATTGAATTGTTTTTCAAGTGAACAGCCGGTTTATTGCCGTTTAAACCACTGGAAAGAGGAGCCTTGGATTGATATGATTCCAAAGCTTCTCCAAGTAAACGCGAGTAGTTAGTCAAGATAAAACGATTGCCAGTAATACAACCATCACGACAGATGAATGTTATCTTATCCCAGCTCATGATGAAATGCTGATGGTAACGATATTTATGTATAAAATGAATGTGATTCTTTAAATTATTTAATTAAGGCTTTTATCTTTTCCGTTCATTAATTTAAATTGACATTCTTAACAGAAAAGAAACGTTGTCATGGTAGCAAAAATATTAATTTAATTCAACAGGAAAATTCTAATGAGATATCAGTGTTTTAATAGCAACTATCAGGCACATTCAGGTTAAGCATTGTCAAATAGAGATACCTGAAAAGAACAATAGAGAAGATAGAAGAAAGAAATGCCATCCATCAGAATACAGTTAAAAATAAAATGAGTAAAAGAATAACATTGTGGGAAATAAGGTGAAAAACACAAATTCAAGCAACTTACCTTGTGAGTTGATAATCTTGCAATAATCCGAAATAATAAATAAAAATTAAAATCAATAAATAAACAGGGTAAATAAAAAAAATGAAAACAATCAGCTCTGGAACATTTGTTAATCCATCAAATAAAAATATAAAAGCTATTCCTACTAAAAAACAAGTCAAAATAGAGAGTATTCAATGAATGCTGTTCATTGCTCTCTGCTTTTAGGAGAGGCTGGACGATTCAGGCTGGATCGCCACAGTTGTACAAACATTTCACAGAATGTGAAAGGGAATATTTCATAAGTTACATTTACGTCATAATATTTTATTAAATATCAAATACTCAATTATTATTAATTTTTCTTTCTGTTTCCATTTAATAATAATTGTTAATATCTAGCTTATTATTAAATGCCAAATTAAAGAAATGCTAAATATTGATTCTAGAGCAACGGTGAAGATGTGGTTTTGAATATTGTATCTTTACGTTTTGTACCATGAATCCACTTATTTCTATCTGTATCTATTTTAACAATTGTTTACCCCAATTTTCATAATCATTTAACTGAATCGCTGATTATCAATTTGTACTCTAAAAGTGATATCAGCGCATCAACCAAATTTTATTGGGAACATTTAAAATGTAAAGATTTACTGAGATTTGGGTTAGACTTTAAGGGTTAAAATTTTACCTTCATGAATTTTCATATTATGTTAGATGCCTAGAGAATCATGGAGTTGTATCAAATAAACCTGAATTGAATGGTGAAGATAATCTTGAATAGGTTGTAGGTTCTGCGGTAAAATCGGAAACTCAAATATTTGATACTGATACGATATCATTACAATGTTGGTTGTTTAGCTAATCTCAAAGTGAACATCAATAAATACTGAATCATTAATATTGATTTCAATGATCTACTCTGATTAAATACAGTCAAATACTAATAAGTAATTGATAGCAGAGATTGTCTCGGTGCAAATGACTATTTATGTTATTGATACAATTGTAAACGAAATTTATGGGAAATATTTTCTTAGATTGCCAAGTATGGTTGAATTTTTTTTGAAATGAATGAATTTTGTAACAGGTTTATTAAATTTCGTTAAGATAAAAATTTTACAAAATTATTACCAAAACTTTATTTTGAAGTTGACGCCAGTTTTCCTAAAATGATGTCATCATGCTTATTTCAACAATCAACAAAAAGCAAAATATCTATTGGGTGTATAGAAATTTTATGCTCAATTTAGGGGGAAAAACAATTTTCTGTTTATAAGCATTTGAGGCATATTTTTCCCCCTGCATAAGGTTTTCATACACCTTGTATGAATCTTTCCTATGACGACAGTGGTATTTACAGTGTGATGAGGTCTCTAGCTCCAAATGAATTGACTAATAAATACGCGGTCTAAATCAACCTTTTAGACTTTGAGACAAGCGGTCAAACATCCAGTCCAAATAAACGCCCTATGTTAATCGTTAGCTACGACACGACATACAACGTATCCCAGCCAAAGAACATCAAATTCCCGAATACACCCATTAAAAGTGACCATATAATACCATGGACGTCAAGCGGTGACAGAGGCTACTGTATACAAGTAACGGGCCCTGAATACAAAAGGGGTATGACGACAGAATTAATTAGTAGCGTTGATGAATACTTCGTAAAATAATATCAATAATGGAAGGCGACAACTCAGCAACGGTAACGGTAGACAGAGAGGATGGACAGAAGTTAACGGAGATCATTAACAAGTCAAACTCAGGTTAATCAGCCACCCCTAATGCTCTAAGATTACCAATAATAAAATTATGGTTGGAAAAAAGATTGACGGGGATGGATATGAAGACAACTGTTCAGAAACTACGCTCCTTCAACTTTAATGGAAAAATTTCAAAGACAAAACCTTCGAATATTGGAAACTATTCGAATCACAGTATACTAACTACAACCAAGTGGCCATCACGATTGACCCAATGTTACGAGATCATCTTTCAAGAGTCCTTAATGGAAAGCTGTGGTATAAAAGGAAGACTCATTGAAGTGATCGATCACTTTTCGACAAGGAAATGCTACAATTGTGGATCATGCAGGCATTGAGTTTGTAACGAGAAACAAGAGAGGTGTCTACGGTGCTCAGGATCGCACATCTTCAGGAACTGCCAAACATAATCATTTTCAACTAACTGAACAGTAAAATTTTACACTACTGTTTATTTAAATGGAACCGTCCTTCAACTTCATTTCACAAAAATTAAGTGGCAACGTCGTTTTTAAAACGAAGGAGGAAACCCTCGAAAACTTTGTCAAATAGCCGAACTGGAGTACACCAGCAACACATATATCCACATTGATGACGAGTTCGTTTAACGGGAAATAAACAGGCCTTTCGACAAGTTACTTAAATGGCTGACTAACCAACGCGTTAAACATTTTAAAATAAGAGGAAATGTTAAGGATGGACAGAACCACCTTTGCGTGTGATAAATAGGCTCGAGATATATATAAATATATAAATCTTGAGGTGATAAATAGCTGCTATGTGATCATTGAATTAGCAGATTCACATGGAAAGGACAAAGTTGATTCGCCATTTTATTCCATATTAAGAGTTTAAATAGGCTGGAACCGCTTAATATCCGGCCTGCAAAGGAGAGCCTGAGGCTTTTAACATAAATTGCCCTCAGATGAAAGAAACCATTGAAAGACAAATGGCAACCATCGACTATACCGATACGGAAATTATGTGGCTAAAAGGTTTTTGAACCATAAAACAAAAAACGAACTTCCAAGGGCGTAAAACTTACTAACCATTACCTTAATAACACTTTCTCATTTATATTTAAAATATTAACAATAAAACTTAGCTGACGAAAGATCAGAACATGCGAAAGTTTCATAACTGAGACACAAGGTTTGAGTGTATCTGTAAGTGTAAGGAACCATCGTACCAGATCCTAAAGACATCAATACTGTTATTATTACACGTCTTTCAGGACCTAAATAAAGACATGATAAGGCAACATATATCGAAACTATTGGAAACATTAAAACTTCTGGATGATTCATTATCAATGACCGCTGGCCCATCCAGATTCCTAGACATACAAGTAGTGATCAACGTTCATGGCCCATGTTAATGAAACCTACACTCAATATAAACTAATCCTATGTTTCCTAGTGATACAATACTCATTTACTAGACTATTAAGAAATGGTCCAAACTAACTTTTTTCTAATTGATGTAACCAGAAGATAATACTTCACTCAAAAGCCCTTGTAAATGTGAAAACGCATGTTTGATCTCAATATATCTATACGTAACCGAAATAAAGAAGCTCAACAGAAATATGATTTAATTTGCCGTATTGTGATATCATTATTAAACATGCAAACTAACTGATGCGGAAAAACTGTTCAGAGGGAATTTCACAATTAAGAATTACAAGTTGAGAAATAATTATTAAACATTTTATACACCAGTCAAAAGCTAAAAACTAGTATTTTCTGGTAGAGTGATTTAATGCAATCTCACAATCAGACAAGATCATTTTTTGTTTTAACGCTTTTCGCAGGCTTTAAAAATTCATACTTACAAGAAGGGTACCCGAGGTCGTCCGAACCGATCGCAATGATTCGTGTGTCATTGAATTCGTCTTAGCAAAAAACAATATAGTTCGTCGTCTTTTGAGTAGCAAATGGACAGAAGGGTCGAAAAGTGCCATTTATTTTCTATCGCTATGTATAGATCAATGTGAAAGCAATAAGATGAACCCACTGCGATGAGCCTTTTTGTTTCACTCATTTTGTTTTGTATGCTCTTTACCATACTTTACATGTAAAAAATTGAATTTTAATTCCGTTTTTCTCGATAATCTTTAATTTGCTACCCGGGAGATTTCGAGACAATTAAACACTCATTAAACCTGATTGGTTTATGATAAAAATATTAACTTTTTTTCGGATGACCTCGGGTACTTCCCTCGTTAGAGTTTTCTCAGAGTTGCTACACTAATTTGTCTATATTAATTGATTCCAATTAGTCCTAAAAATTTCCAGCATATACTGGGAAACTCAGGCAATAGAATGGTGTTTATCAGAAAGAAGTTCATGAAAGCAATAAGATTTAAATAA